CAGTTATAATAAATATAACAACAGTTATAATAAGTATAACAACAGTTATAATAAATATAACAACAGTTGTAATAAATATAACAACAGTTATAATAAATAACAACAGTTATAATAAATAACAGTATAACCCTCTCTTTTTTTTGTTTATTACCCTCAATAAACATTGAAAAAACACTAAAGTTTCCAGATGTTCTTGTATAAACGGGGCCTTTTAGCAGGTAGATCACTGTGACTCGTTTTAAAAGGAGCTCCATGATGAAAACATCTGGACAGCCCTGGTCTGCAGTGTTATGGACTTTGTTCTGCATCAAACCAGCCCTGTGGTTTTTGAACATCATCTTCATAAAACACCTCAAAAGTCCTGCAGGTGTAAGTGCAGAACACACATCACTGTATTTACCCATAATGCACTTGTTGCTGTCAGAGCAGGACCATGGCTGCTAAATACCTTTAATCTGCCAGACAAGTTCTGATCTGCTGATGTGAGGCTTGTAGAAAACACCTGGGTTAATGTTGATACTCTGCAGCACTCGTGTCTGCTTCAACAGATCTCAAACTACAAAGCGTGCAGAGATCAGCAGTACCGTAATTAAGTGCACAATCCAGTGATGTTTGTAACGTTCGCTTCCCTTTCTCTCCGACGCACCAAATCCCTTCCTGTTGTTCAGTGGCGCCAGGCAGACTCCATCAGGCACCTGGGGAAGGTGACGCTGGCTCAGGAGCCGGACTATACGGGCCTCATCGTGGGCTGCCTGTGTGTCAGCCTGCTGCTGCTGCTGCTGGGAACGCTGCTGATGTGGAGGAGGAACAAACACATCGACGGTGAGAAACACCAGGTCGCTTCGAGCTGCACCACGACAGCGATCCACTGCGCTCAGACGAGCAGTGAGCTCGTCCGTCCTGTCCGAGTTCAACTTGACGACAAGTTAGAATATTAAAAAACACAAACAGATCTGTACTGTCCCTTTAGCTTCATTTCATTTGACATAAACTGTATTTTAAGATTAATTCTTAACGATCTGTCCAGTCTAGCTCCGCCCTCCAGTCGCAGATCATTTTACTTTATTTACGTTCTTCAGTTCAAACACTGAACACAGTCTGTGCTGATTCAACACTGTTGTTGTTTTTAGCTTAACTTAGCTAGGCTTCTGCTACCTTTAGCTTTTTGCTAGCTTTTTCCTTTCAGCTTGCCTTCTGCTATTTTTGGTTTTGAGCTAGCATTTTGTTGCTTTTGGTTAGCATTTATAGCTTTATCAGTTTCAGCTTTTCAGGAAGTTTCAGCGGCCGTTCAGTGCTCTATGCACAAACTGTATTTATCAGAAAACATTCCTGGAGTCTCCAACATTCAGTCCGGTCATCTGGACGGTTTCTTTTTTGTGCTGAGACGTGAGAACCTTTGGATGGAGGGTGAAACGTCTCGCTCCAGGTGACCTGACTGACCCTTGTTGGATTGTACCTGGATTATTGAGCATGGACTTTGGTGTTTCTGTAGTAACAGTTACTTTCTTTCAAATCGAGTACTTCCTGTTTTTAGTTTGTGAGCACGTTGAGTTCATCTAATGTGTGGAGCAACTGCTAAAAAAGATCTATCCCTCCTTCCTCCATCTCTCCTTATGTTTCTTCCCTTCTTTCTCTGATCTCTCCTTCTTTATTCCCCTTCTGTCCCAGATCTGACTGAGATTTGGTACGATGGCCGGGGTCACATCCAGCACCTGGACAGGTTGGCGAACGCGAGGAGCGTCAGCCCCACCAACGAGCTGGTCTCCCACGAGTCAGTTGACTACAGAACAACCCTGCTGGAGGGTACGTTGACCCCCCACCCCCATCTGACTCCCTGTTCTCCCACTCCTCTTCCCTCCCATCTACCACTTGACCTTCAGATTATGTGTTGAGGAGGACCCGCAGCTACTACCTCACCACATTTCAGCTCCATACATGTAAAACTGATGGAGTTACAGCAGTTTTTGTTTATGCTAAGGATGATTAGCTGTGGCAGCCATCTTGAGCCATGCTGGCTCCGAAACATAATCTTGTGTAGATGAGCTTCCAATGATCGATTACGAGTTTCATTAAAGTATGTCCAGTGGTTCATGAGATACTTTAACAGATATTTTATTTAATTTTGATAACAGGCATTTATACAGTTGCCCACTTTTCATGCTATTTTGTAATATTTCAAATATTATTATATATAAAAAAACATTTTACTGGCAAGAAGTAAAACTCATTTTCAGTATTTTTCTTGTTTTATTGCCGCCTCCTCTGAGCGAAGAGGAGACTTGGAAATATCCGTCCTTGCATCCAGATCATCTTGTGAGCTTGTTGAGTTGAAAAGTGAACCAGATATTTTAATGTGTCTGAGCAGAATGAAGTCGTTATCAAGACCTGGGTTTCCACGTCAACTGCAAGATGCTCCCTCTGTTCTTCTCCACAGTGTAACCCCTCCCCGCTTGAACAGCCTGAAGTAAAAACATGTAGGTTTACTTTATTGGGGACTGCCTAGTACAAAGGCAGACACCTATTATTGTCCACATGACAAGGGTTTCTTAACTTTATATCAACTTTAATACGGCCTGAACCGCGACGTGTCCCCGACAGATGTTACATCAAAACGACCGGCTCGGCGCCGTGATGTGTGCTGGTACTTTCATTGGCGTTTTAAGTTACCATGGTGACGTAATTTGCAAGCAGACGCCATTTTTATTAATAATTTTTCATAGACTTTGACTGCAAATCAAATATCCAAGATGGCCGCCTGAGAGAAAAAGGAAAAATACTGTAAATCAGCCATTTTTAGAGATATTAAGCTGAAATTTAGTGTGGTGGTATCTGAGAGCACTGCCCAATAAATAATGAATAAAAAATCCAAGATGGCCACCAAAGCTAAATTTAAATGTCTTTAACTCATTGATGTTTTGTCATGTTGAGCTGAGATTTGGTGAGGTGGTTTCTGAGAGTGGACCACAGAACATGGTACGGTCAAATCAACGTTTTAAAATGGCCGCCACGTGGCAGTCCCTGTCACAGTTTCTCCAGGAACTTTCTAGTTCTCTGTTCAGTTCCCGTCCAGAAAAACACTCATCTCCAAAACTACAAACATTTAGTGTTCAGACCTGTCAGCGACGGGGACATGTCGACATGTATGTCATGTACACATCACGCATGACTGTCATCGGCTTGTTCACTTCGCTTCAGTGTTGATCTTCTCTGAGCCCGGTCTGAAACTCTGTTTAGGAACCTTCTCGTCAAGCAGACTGGCTGTGGTCTTTGGGGTCCCGTGTGGTTTTTGTTCTTTGGGTCCTGAGGGCCTCGGAGAGGCTCCTTGTATCCTGATCCCGAGGATGATGGGAGAAGTGATTTTCCTGCTGGTTTAACATCTGAGGAGGTCGACTTACTAATGAGCTGAAGCCTTGAGGCAGGAGCCGTGTGGTTTGCAGGATATCTGACCTTGTTCTGGTCTCAGCTCTGCTGCTGCTCTGGATTGTCTGGTTTTTTTCACAACAAGAAAAAAAATCAGACGCTTCTTCGTTCCCACCTCGTGTCAGGTTTCTTCGTGGTTTTGTAGCCGTCGCTCTCTGATCATGTAACACACGCTGACCTCTGGAGGCCCTGCTGATACCGTCGCCGACCTCTGACCCCTCCCTTCGCTTTCGTTTCTCCACAGATCAGGGCGCCGACAGGCCCGAGACGTGCCGAGCCGCTCCTCCCGTCTATGGAGACAACGGGGAGCTGCTGTCCCCCAGACTGGGGGCGCTCAGAGCTGGGATGGGTCTGGGTCTGGAAGGCGATTTGGTGTCCCCCCTCCTGATGGCCCCGGTTCACATCGACCCGTCCTGTCTGCACCCGGACCTGCTGACAGAGGTGCAGCACGTGGTGATCGCCAGGGAGCAGCTGCTGCTCCACCTCAACCAGGTCATCGGCAGAGGTCGGTCATCAGCGCCACACCTTCACGTTTCATCTGTTGGTCCGTGTGCTGCTCATGTTTTCCTCCATTCATGACGGTGGTGATTAAATAACAACCAAACTTACAGGTTCAGACGAACTGTGCCAAGGTGTCGAGTTTAGTTCGTGCCTTCAAAGTGACGTCACATGTTGGGCTTCGTCAGACTGGGGCCCACACAAACCAGTCCCTGTGTTAAGTTGGGTTTTTAGTAGCAAAAATTAAACCTTTTTGTAGACACCTTTTATTTCCCCCCGTCTCAGAGTGAAAAGGGGGAATTGGAAATACACTCCATCTGTCCCTCGTGCACGTTGTGTGCACGGCAACTTAAACTAGTGAGGTGCCAACTTTCATTTTGATGTGAGGCTGCATCTTGATGTAAGAAAAAAGCTTTCAAACATGAGTTTGCTACGTCACAATCCAAGATGGCCACCACCATATACAGCGTTTCCCTAACTGTTTTCCAAAGAAGGCACCCCCCCCCCAACAGAACCAAGTGCCCCGCCCCAATCGACAACTGTCTGCACACACGTAGCTCTAAACTAACAGAGCGAAATGCAGACGCGCTAGCAAAAATGCTACTGATGTAGCGCTCCGCTTCTCTCACGCATGCCCCGCCCCCAACAGTAACGTAGCGCTAAGCTAGCATGCAACACAGACGTGTCTCCGTCTCCTCCCCTCCACCATCATCCCCGTCGTCAAAAAAAAAAGTAGGTGAACACCCTGGAAGGGAACTGATCTAGGGGAAACACTTATTATACATATATATACATATATATATATATATATATATGTATGTATATATGTATGTATATATGTATGTATATATGTATATGTATGTATGTATATATGTATGTATATATGTATATGTATATATGTATATATGTATGTATATATGTATATGTATATATGTATGTATATATATGTATGTATGTGTATATATGTATGTATATGTATGTATGTATGTATATATATGTATGTGTATGTATGTATGTATATATATGTATGTGTATGTATGTATGTATATAATATATATATATATATATATATATATATACATATATGTATATGTATGTATATGTATACATATATATACATACATATACTGTATATATACATACAGTATATGTATGTATATAAATATGTGTAACTCTACCATTCCTATCATTTGATGAAACTAACTATACTTTATAGTTTTTATTTTGCCTAAAAGTATAGTTTCCTCAAATGGTGGCTGAAGATTGCTGTATGGTGGTCAAGGCCACCATTGGCCACCCTCTGGCTCCTCCACTGCACCTGGTGGTGATGAAATGTTTCCCTCCTCTCCAAGATCCATCACTCTGAGCTGTTTCTGAAAAATAAATCAAAACCTCCCTCTGTGCTTCTCCACAGTGTAACTCCTCCCCTCTTGCATGTCTTGCACCAAAAACATTTAGGTTCACTTCATCCTCTGTTCAGTTCATTCAGAATCAGTTTATTATCGCCACGTCAGTGAACGAGGTTCACAAACTAGGAATTTGCTTCTACATAAGGTGTGAATAGTAATAAAGTAAAACAAAGTAAAAATTAAAAACATAACATAACCATGTGTACACCCATACAATAGAAAACAATAAAAAGCTTAGAGAACAGTACAGATGGAGTATTCAGTTATAATACAGATGTAATGTGACCAAAGCAGAAGTTATGAGGTAGCATTATGAGTGTTCAGGAGTCCAACAGCAGAGGGGAAGAAACTGTTCTTATGGCGGGAGGTTCTGGTCCGAATGGACCGAAGCCTCCTGCCTGAGGGGAGTGGTTCGAACAGTCCGTGTGCAGGGTGAGCAGGGTCAGCTGTGATCCGACCTGCTCGCCTCACAGTCCTGGAGACGTACAGGTCGTGGAGGGATGGAAGGCTGCAGCCGATCACCTTCTCAGCTGAGCGCACAACGCGCTGCAGTCTGAGTCTGTCCCTGGCAGTGGCCCCGGCGTACCACACCGTGATGGAGGAGCTGAGGATGGACTCCATGATGGCCGTGTAGAACTGCACCATCAGCTTGGCCTTCTTCAGCTGTCGCAGGAAGTGCAGTCTCTGCTGGGCCTTCTTGATGAGGGAGCTGATGGTCGGCTCCCACTTGAAAAACACTCGTCTCCAAAACTACATTCATTGTTGAAATTCTTCAACGATGGGGGCATCGGTGTACCTTCTGTTTATTTACCTTGTTTCTTTACACTGAGCAGCTGCACCGGTGCAGCACCTGCTAACATAGAACCATCCCACAGCATGATACCACCACCACCATGCTTCACTGGTCGTGTTCTCAGCATGACAGGAGGTGCTGGGTTTGTCCTCGATGAGTTGAGCTCAGGTTTGGACTCTTCTGACCTCAGGTTCTTTTCATGTTTGGGAACTTTCTGATGTCTTTGACAAATTCCAGTCTGTTTTTGAATCACAAAGAGCTGAAGCCCGGCTCTGTGCAGCCTGCGCTGGTCCTTGAAATCTGCCCCTTTCACCAAAAACAGAATCACACACATTTGCTGCATTTGAATACCAACCCACAGACCTGATTTAAGGATCTTGGAGGGGATAGACCCCAACCTTCCAATAAAGCATGTATGCTCCTCTCCTGTTTCTTTTTCCTCTGAGGCCTGCAGCTTTGGGTGCTCGTCTTTCACAGTGCCATGTGATGATTTGTTCACAGCTAATATTCTCGGTTTAAACTGAAGTAATCCAACACCTTCAGCATCTGCAGAGATGGGATTGGAGAGCAGAGCACTCATTTCAGTCCTGCCCCCACACACCAGTCTGGAAACACCCCCCATGTCCTAAACAGGAGATGCAGTTCAACAAAAGGCACAAGAAAAATCCAATAAAAAAACTTAAAGACAAACACTAACGCAACTGGAGAAATTGCATTTCCTGTCAAAATGCAGTGAAGAACTTGCTGAAAAACAGCTGAAATTAGTTTAAAAAACAGGTGCAATTGTAGCTGAAATGAAAGAACAAGCCTAAATTAACAGAAGAAAGTGGAAAGAACACATTTTTGCTGAGTTAAGTAATAAATTAGCAGAAATAAGCACAAAAAAGAGGAATTTGTCTGGAAAAAAGCTGAAATTAGCATAAAAAAAGCAGGAAGAGGCTGAAATCACCAGAAGGAGGTGGAGAGAGCACATGGACTGTACCTATACAGCTCCTTTCTATCTCATCCAGACACTTAAAGCTCCTTACAACAATCATCTACTCATTCATACAGCTCTCTACTAGATCTGTACAAAGAATAATCAGAGCTTTATCACATTCAGACACCGATGGGACACACATCAGAGACAATGAGGGTTCAGTGTCTTGCCCAGGGACACTTCAGCATGTGACTGCTGGTGGAATCAAACCCCCAACTCTTCCATTGGAGGACGACTGCTCTAACCGCTCAGACACAGCCGCCCATTTTTACTGAATTAGGCTGATACAAGTTGACATGAGTGCAAAAAGTGTGGAATTAGTTGAAAAGGTTAAAATTAACATAAAACAGCTAAATAGAAGCTGAAATAGCAGAAAAAGATGAAACTTGCATAAATAATCTGAAAGGAGCAGAAAGAAGTTAAAAGAAGTGCAAAAATGTTGTAGTTAGCTGAAAGAATCTGAAAGGAGCACAAAACAGCTGAAGTTATCTGAAAGTAGCTGAAAACAGTTTAAATTTTCAGCAGGAAGCTGAAAGCAGCTGAAGCAGAACAAAGTGTGAAAGGAGCAGTAAAAGGTTGTGAACACGTCTAAAGATGTGAAGGAGGTCAAATGAGCTCAGTTCATTTTCTGTGAGAACAAAATGGCAGAAAAGGCTAAATATTTTAAAAAGCTAAAGTTGCACCAAAACCAAAAGTCAGAGCAGGATTGTCCTGGAAGAGCCGAACGTTTTGATTCATGATTTGTTGAAACAGCTGAAAACTGCGGGACGAAGATGCTGAAAAATGTACAGAAGAGAAATGGGTCACAGTAGAGTGAACGCTTCACGAACAATAACTCAGAGGTTGCTAAGTGAGGTGTCCAGGGACAAAGCTTTGCTCTGGTTACAGAGTTCGGCTGATTGTACCTGAAGAGTTCATGGGGTGGAACACGTTCAGCAGTCGTCTTCTTTCTGCCCATCAAAACACCAGACGCTCCGACTCAATCTCTCCCAGAAATGTAGAACGCTGACTGCTCTCGTTCTCCACGCTAACTGCGTTAGCTGCTGCTACACAGTCGTGTCCATTGACGGGTTTTCTGTCAGTAAATCATAACTGAGGCTCAGATCAGACGAGGGTTCAGATTTACTGACCAACACAGAGCCCTGGTAATGGTCCGTGCGCTCCAGGGACTGAGAGTTCTTGTAAATAATTGTAAAATTACTGCTTAACAAACAGAGGGCCTGCTCCCTGGCTGGTTTATGGGGGTCACGGGTAACGGTGAGGGAGACTGCCTCCTTTACGTTCCCCGTCACCGAGGCAGGAAGTGATGCATCTCATATACGAGTGTGGAATGGGAGCATGCCTCCTGTGTGGGTCCAAAGCAGGTTTTATGGGACTTTTTCACAGGTTTGAACAAGAGCTCTTGAAACTCCTGATGCTGACTGACTCTGACTAACGCTGTGCGTCGTGTTGGAACCCGCAGGACACTTCGGCTGTGTTTTCCACGGAACGCTGCTCGAGCCAGAAGGACAGAAGCAGCACTGTGCCGTCAAGTCTTTGAACCGTAAGTAGCTCTTTGTGTTCAGCAGGTCAGTCGTACTGATGACGGTTAAACATCTGATGAAAGGAGTGATGAAGAGATGAGGAGCAGGTCCAGCCAGCAGGGTTTGGAGGGGAGCTTTCAGAGTCGGCATACATGTTGTGACTCCTGAACTGCAAATCATCTTGTAAACATCTTGGTGGCTGTGAGCAACAACCAAACCCCCCCACACATTAAATCAGCTCTGCAAGGTGGAGCAATACGGTTCTTGGTTCATCAAGACCTTTCTGCAAGAAGTTTGCATGTTCTTGCAGGGCATGGGTAGCTTTCCTCCAGACTCCAGCTTTCCACACTGAAACCTGCACGTTGGGTTAACTGGCTGTTCTAAACTGGTTCTGGATGTAAATGTGTGCAGGCACGATTGTCCGGTTGCCCTGACAGATTGCCAGGGTTGCCAGGACTGGCAACTTGTCCAGGGAGAACCCCACTTTTCTCCAAGCACTGCTGATAAGCTCCTCTGCAGCCCTGAACCACATCCAGTCGGTCAAGTAGAGACAAGAAACGACGATCTGCACAAACGCCTCCCAACTCTTCACTGACCACACAATCATTTGAGGAAACAATGCTCTCTAGTTTTTACTTTGCTTAAAAGTATAGTTTCCTCAAACAATTGTGGGGTGGGGGGGGGGTCTGAAGAAGAATCTATGGCGGTCACAGCCCCCACTGACCTCTATTCTAACACGCAGTATAATTTCTGTTCAACTGTTCACTTCCAGTCCAGAAAAACACTCGTCTCCAAAAATACAATCCCCAACTATTCAAATCCCCGAGCAACGGAGTGGGGGGTGGGGGGGCATCGGTGCACCGCTTGTTTCCACTAAATGGACCTCGAGCTTCTCTGTAAACCAAAATATTCTCAAGTCAAATGTCAGATCTTCTACAGCTGAACCTGGACCAAACCTAGATGATGCAACAGTCCCACACAAATCAGCAAATCTACAACAAAAATGCCCGATTAAACATAAACTAGTCTAAAACGATGTGGTAATCATCAAAGCTGGATGTGGACACCAGTGACCCCCGCAAGCTGAAAAGGAGGAAGCAGGTCAAGATGATGGATGGATGAAGCATAAAGACGATGATTGTTCACGTTCTTACTGGTTTTACAAACCCCTGAACTATGAGAGGTAGCTAGTTTCACCCACTGGCTTTGGATTTCATCAAACCGATGAAGACACAGTTGAACACGTCGTGTTTTTGCTCACCAGAGGTGATAGTTATTTGATTTGAACGCCCATTAAGGATTAGATGCTTCTGTACTCATGTAGACCACAGAATGGAGGGTAGCTTTGCTTACGTTTTTCCATGACGACAAACAATCAGACTTCTCATCACGCGTGTCCAGACGTGTTCGTGTCCACCCACAGTAAGTCACTCCTTTCTTCATCTGCCTACACTGGATTGTCTCCTCACTGTATTGGATCACACCGCCTCCAGTCGTATTACGGACCCCATCTGAGCGGAGCCGGAATCCCTTTCATCTCCAGCTAATGGGGATGAATGAGCGCTCAGCGGTTTGGACGACATCAGGCCCCAGGCTAATCTTGTAACCTGTCAGCCGGAGCAGGGAGATTGATGCTGGAGCAACACATGCGGTCGCAGGGAACCAACAACTACAGTAGACCGGTCCGGTCCAGTCCTCTGGGACCTGAACCTATTTTTAATCAATTTGAATTCAACTTTATGGGCACGATTTGATGCTTTTATCTTAGTTTAATGGTCTCGAGACACTTGGTTGGAAGAGAAATGACCAAAATCATGAGCAAACATGAGCAATATCATGAGAAAGGGGTTAATTTTGTAGTAACTTTACAGTAAAATGGATTGTTTTCTGTAACTTTGAAAGCTTTTCAAACTGTGGCCCGTTGTGTCTATCTATCTTCGGCTCGGACCCTCAGCTGAACGCTAATCGTGCACCCAAAGAGCCTCCGTCTAACCGGATTACAGCTGAGTCAGAGAGGCTAAAGTGCAAGACGCCAGAAGCAGAGATGCATTTGGCAAATGGATGTGGGTGTTGTTATTTATTTTTCGAGTTACGCTCCCGCCATCATGGTCTGTCCCCAAAGACATCCAAGGAGCGATCTTAACACTGATGTCAGAACATTACAAATAAAACTATGTTTTTACAAATATCATTCCTGCAGCTCTCCATCTGCTGGTTTTTAAGAGTTTTTATGTCAAAATCCAGACAGTTCATTTGAATTCATGATGTTTCCTTAACCTGGAGCTCTGTTTTTGTCTAAAAGGCATCACAGACTTGGAGGAGGTGTCCCAGTTCCTAAAGGAGGGCATCATCATGAAGGACTTCAGCCACCCCAATGTCCTCTCTCTGCTGGGTATTTGTCTTCCACCAGAGGGGTCACCCCTGGTGGTTCTGCCCTACATGAAGCATGGCGACCTGCGCAACTTCATCCGCGATGAGGCACATGTAAGAGAGCCCGCCGTTTTAAACATGTGAACACTGAAGGTTTTCCCGGTCGCGATGCATAAAACAAAGATGGTGAATGTCTTGCAGAACCCTACGGTGAAGGACCTGATGGGCTTCGGACTGCAGGTGGCCAGAGGGATGGAGTATCTAGCCAGCAAGAAGTTTGTTCACCGAGACCTGGCCGCCAGGAACTGCATGTGAGCTCATGTTTAGTCACATGGTGTTAAATGAACGTTTCACACAGATTCACTGTGGCAGAAAGAGTTCAGCAGGACACAAAACCAAACTTAAGAAGAGCGAGCAAAGTCTGGAAGACAAACCTTTGCTCTAAGCTATGTTCACAGAAGGTTTAGGAAGGACGGGCCTGAAGACTCGAGCCTAGTTTTGAGGATTATACTTCCATCCATCCATTTTACCCACTTCTTCCATTTTGGGTCACAGGGACACCCTGGACAGGTCTCAGTCCATCACAGGGACACCTGGACAGGTCTCCAGTCCATCACAGGGACACCTGGACAGGTCTCAGTCCATCACA